GCAACTTTTTAAAATTTGACCCTTGTAACTGCAATGGGTATGGCATATTTTTCATAAATATTTGCTTGTCCTATTTGCAATATTTGGTAAACGTTTAAAAAATCAAATAAAATATGGCATAACCATAAGATAGCTATTAAATGGACTTTGCTTTCAATATATAAATATATATTTGTGTATTTATTATACTCTGAACCCAAAAGATAAGCTCTCTGGATACCAAAAGGGAAGCGCAATATACAGATATATCTTTTATAAGATAAATGTGATGCTTAATTGGTGGCATTTTTACATTTCATTAAACGGCAAGTTTAAAGATTCGAATTCGACTGAATTTTTCATTTATCGTTTTTACGTGAAAAAGGAACAAAAGCCAAAAATGCTCTCAAATTAATTTCAATGTAACGAAACACCACATGCAAATGGCTCAATGCGAAGCCTCAGCGGCTCACAGACTCGAATTCAATTTACAAATGCAGGAAATCCGACAACAAAAACAACAGCAGAAACAAGCCCAAAGATACTTTTTGCCTTGCCGACGACAAATCGACTTTTGTGAGGAAAAATATGCATGTGGCGAGCGACGGAAGAAAAATGCTGCCCCAAAAGGTGGCAGTGTGAAAAATTATGCTCTCAAAATAGATTTTCCAGCTACAGTTCAAAATAGAAAATGGAAAAAAGTAGAAAAAACACACTTGTCCTCCATGGAGCTGACACTTAGTCTGTCCAAAGCCAATCCGTCCGTGCTGTCGCGTCTGCAGTTAATAAAATTTTTTGCCACGTCCTTTGCTGGCGGCACAAGTGTAGACAAATCCACAGCTATTGCGTCTAAAATTATATAAAAAACCAAAAACGTCTACTCCTCTGATAAACTCGTTGCATGCATTTTTCCCACTTTGCCACGTGCTGCAACGATGTCGACGGCTGTGAAAAGCGACAAATAGCAAATGTTTTCAGCATTTAATAAAATCATCTGTCGATTAGATTTGTGCCTCCCTCCAACTTTGCTGAAGGCTCTCATGCAGTTGTTAGATGTGAGACCCTCAGCAAAAGGCATTGGCATATTTTAAGATATCTGTAGTTTCCCCCATTGACAAAAAAAAACTTTACTAGTTAGTGGAGCAGAAAATGCTGTTGACTGGGCCAAAAACATACTGCGTCAATTTGCTTGCAAATGCTTTTGATAATTCCAACAATTGTGGCATTTATGTTCGTAAGGGACTTGTTTCATATGAAGATGACCTCAAAATCGGCAAGAAATTTATTGAGCAGTAAGCCATTTCTATTCCCAGAAAATATTCATCAAGATGTAAGAGGCAGAATAACAATATTTTAAATATTTTTAGTGGGAATCGTTTAATTGGACATCAAACAAGATAGCAAATATTTGTATTGCATATTTTCTATCTTGAAAGCAAATAAATTACAAGCTAAAAATATTTTTAAGAAATATTTAATTTGTTTTGTTTTTACTAACCTCTGTCTTAGCTCTGCAATTTGTATTTTATATAAGAAATATCCACAATGTACCTGTAAAAATGTGTACTAATACTTATAAGGAGGGTCCACATTTGACAAAAGCTTTAAAAATCTTTCACATTTGTATTTTATGTTAGATGGATCTATGTGTAAATGTATCTATGTGTACTAATACTTACAAGGAGGGTCCACATTTGACAAAAGCTTTACAAATCTCTCACAGTTTCATGGTCATGCTTGTCTGTTTATAAACATGAATATATCAAACGAATAAATCCTTCTGTCCTCCATTATGATCCACAACCCGTCCGTGACTCATAAGCCCCGAATCATTCACAGCCAAAAAAGGCGCGCACAAAAATATGCGTGTAAAATGCCATAAAAATCAAATAAAAGCAACCCGAAATGAGCGAAAAATAAAGCAAAGCGTCAAACGAGCCATTCAAATGCATTTATAAATGTTTCGAATTGAGCCAAAAAATAAAATAACGTAAAAAAAAACTGTGGCAATAAACAAAGCAAATCGTAAAGCTCATTGAAATGTTACGAGTACAACAACACTCAAGAGCACCACTCAATTGGCCGGTAGACAAGCACTCAACGTACTCAACGTACGACAGCCACTTAATGAGCCAGAAGCTAAGAGAGACAAATAAAATGGGAACAAAAAGCGCAACCGGGAAACAAAACAAAGCACACTAGCCAAAAAAAAAATAAAAAAATAAAACAGAGAACAGATAGAAACACACATACAAACATATTTACATACATATGCAGACAATGCCACGGCATAAACAAAACTCAAAAAGCGAGCAACAAGTTCTCGTGAGTGCGTGAGTGTGCACCGAGTGCTTGTAAGGAGTAGCCCAATGAGCGTGAGTGTGAGTGTGTGAATTGGGGAGAACAAGTTTCGTTTGCTTGTGGAGTTTGAGCGCAAAGTGGCTGCAGCAACGACGCGACGTCGACGCTGGCAGAGACGCTGACGGCCGTTCACTTAACGCATGCGGCCGGCGTTGTTGTTGGGTCAGTTTACGAAACGTCGGCGCGTAAGTTGGTTGCGTTTTTGTAGAAGCGGCGCGCGCAGAACGCGATCAGCCGGCATTGGCCAAACGAAAGATACATTTGCATCCGTGAGATACACGCAAGTACTCAGTGCAGCGAGGAATTATCCCAATAAGTAACCAAAAACAAAGTGATTTTGTGCTCAGTGTCGTGTTCTAGCTTCAAAGCTTTGCTTTTCATTTTAATATATTAAATTCGGGCGCATTTGCTTCCCAAGAAGTGAAATTGAAAACCAGCAACAGCTAAAACCCAAGTCACAAGCGCGAAAAACTGTTGTACAACAAACGAAAGTAACAAGAGTAATAAGGTCGAATTTATAACAATAATTTTTGTCAACGTCGGCGACGTCGGCAACATGGCAAAAATTTGTGTGATAAATTATATGAAATTCTTTGTAACAGTCACGTTTAAAATTGTGCGCCCAAATTTTTTTTTTAAGTTTTCCCTGTTTTATTTGCATTTTGTGAATTTCTTTGTACATCGGTAGCTGTGCGCGTATTGGATACTTTATCTAGAGTCTAGCTTCTAGACTAAATATACCATCGACTTGTTTTCGTTGTTGTTTTCGGTTGTTATTGTTGTTGTGGGGTTGGGAAAATATGGTGACGGCGTTAAGCAAACCTTTGTGCTGCATGCGCTAAAATAAGACTTATTTTTTTGATGTAATTTTTAAAAATAAGTTAAGCGAGACAGTTTATTTTGACTGCAAATTTATAAAGAAAAATTGCTGTTTACACAGCAAAACGATATCAAGTTGTCGGTGTTTGCAAATAATTCAAATGTTTTGCCAAAACTTATACACGTACTTATAAGTATGTCAATTTTCATAATAAGCATGGGCATGGATTACAATATCAAAGATTTACATTTTAATTAACAGCTTTGTCTTAAAAGCGCGAGTTCATGTTGTTAACAGAGCGGTAAATCTTACATCCAAATGTTAGTTGAATATCCCATTAAATAAATGGAATTTTCTATATCCTTATTAAACGTTTATTTTTATAGAAGTATGTAGGTAGTTATGGTTTCTCATCCATAATAATTATCACCCCGTCTCAGTTTTTCTTTATCACATTGCGTGATAATGAAATTTACATGTGACTTAAGAAGAGTTTTCCCTGCATATCGGTCGCGATAAGTCAGTTAATTAAATGCACATATATACTTTGGAATAAACATGTTCAGTATATAAGTAGGCATTCAATTTGCATCTCACATTTCATATGCTGGCAAAAGGAGAATGTCTTCATAGTGTTGGCCCTTCCTAGAACTGTGCCCGACCACACTTTTAATATCCCACGCCCGGCTGTCAAAAGCCTAAGGGCGCGATGCTCGGTGACAACAAGTGAAGGTCGTTTGTTATTATTTACTTTGCATCTTATTGAATCTTTTTCTCAAAGGGGAGCGCAGAAGAATGAGATCCACCAGCCTGCTGAAGTGAGGACTTCTCAGCAGTTTATTTGTTAAAGTTATCGCTTTATATGTGGTTGCCCTGGCTACATCAAGCCCCAGACTGAGCGAGAGAGCCCCAGACTCAGGCACAGCCTGCCCTGCTTTATATTTGTCATATGTTTGAGCTTTGTAGGGATTCGAGTAACGCCAACGCCTCGTCTTTTATATACTCGCACGTACTTACTTACACTTATGTCTGGATGTATCTCAGCTGGATTTACATTGTGGCACATCTTCATCTGCATATCTCGATGTACGTATGTGCGATTTTTTATCTTTTACAGTTGTTAGTCATTGTTATTGCTGTTGCTGCTGCTGCTGTTGGCTTATCTCTTTGTGCACATTCCATCCGTGTCTCTGGCGAGGACGAGCATACGAGCGACAACACGACAACGGGAACGAGAACGGGGCTGGGACAGACCCAACTGTCTTTGTTGTCAGTTGGTTAATTAGGACGATATGAGTCAAACTGTGCGTGCCTCATGTGTGAGGCGCCATCTGGAATGTGCTCAAGGTTTTGCATTCATTAAAGCTATGTATATGCCACATAATGAAATACTTTGTGGCACTCTAGTGTCAAAATTTGTATGAAATTAACAACATTTCTCGAGGCAAAGTTCAACTCGAGGGTCTCTTGTGCCCCAATTTGATTTTCGTTTGCCGTTTGCCGGTTATTCACATCAAATTCCTGGACTCATCGATGATGTCAACATTTGTTTGAAGTCGCTTTCATTGGACTCATTTGTGGGCTGTTTTGAAAAAGTGCATGTCTGCGTAGTTCATTAACAACAAAGTGAAAAGGAATTTTTATTGATGGCAAAAAGTTTAGCAGCTGTTGCTCAGATGTGTGTGCAACACATCTGGCAGCAGGTCTAGAAGGCAACTAATTGCAGCTTAAATAATAAATTTCGTAACTTTCATTAATGCATTTGTAATTAATCAGCAATATGTTTCTGTCAATATTCTTATCAATTTGTTTCTTTTCAATTATCTTTTGTATTTTACAGACCAGTTCAGTTTCAGTTGTAGCTCAAATTCTTATAACCAACACGCTCAAAGTACGTTTACTCTTTTATGTTATACTTTTTCTGTTATTACTTGTCCACATATTCTATTAACCCACCAGAGCATAAATCTCACAACATGTGTTGGGCCCCATAATATTCATTTGTTGTACATAATAACGCACAACATAAAACACACACTCCCATTTCATACAATTGCGTGAAACAAAAGTGGGGCATAAATTTGTCACTTTTATCCAACAGTCCAATGATAACAATTGCTATATACACTGCAAATGCACGAGGGGCTCGCTTCCGATACGGATCTTGTTTATATTGTTTTTTATGATGCGGCCGATATTCATGAGCCACAAGGCACATAATTAATGCCACCGAATGCAGCAAATTTCGAATTTCGAATGAAATCCGAAGCTGCCGTCTCCTCGTCTGGTTTTTAATGGACGAGCTCTAATGATGTTCTTTTATTACAGAGCTATGCTCGTGTTTATTAGAAGCGCACATGTTTGCAACCCCACAAATTTATGAGTTGCGGTAGGGATTTGAACCACAGGGCAACTTTGACCCACTTCGAACGGGTGGCTGCGCAGATAAGCGCCACATTGCGACCAATTAATGCACTGGCTTAGCTTTTTTTTACTGCTAAAAGCGCTGCATGTAATTAAACTAGACTACATAAAAATAAAGAACAACTGTACATAATAATTAACCAATTACTTGAAGAAGAATCCAGCAAGAGAAAAATGTAATTCCTTAGAAAAATTCCCAATTGAGATTCCCAATTGAGGCCACAAATGTTAATTGATACACAAATATTTTGATTTCTTGATGAATTCTGTGCACAAACAATAATCACGAACCACGGTCCAAGCAAAGCTTTGAATTGAAAGACATGACAGGCATACGTTTGAAATTTTTGATTGCCCTTTACGAGTAATTAAATTCACAGCTCTCACATAGTAAATTAACATCATTAGAAAGAGAATATTCAAGATGCATTTCGAAATTTATTAGACTTGCTTTTCCGCGTCTATAAATTGTAACTAAACTATTTGACCTTGCTACAAATTGTTCAAAATTACGCGTTCTTGACCAGGGTTGGCTCTGGCGATTGTGGGGTATAATATTTTATTGACGGCAGCTGCAGTCATGACATATTTAAATGTTTATTATAATTATCATGTATTTAAAGTACATCATATTGAAAACAACATCTGTTCCCGCACAACGCTACCCTTTAATAATAATTTTATATGAAATATATCCTACTACGTAGCTCTGCTATCTGTTAATTTTTTTTTTATTTTTTTTTTTAAATTATGTTTTTTTTATGCCCTGATCACTGTCCGTCTTCCCATAAACAAGCAGTCGAAAATGTACTTAAATTTCTTAAATAATTATTTATTTACCTGCGGTTGCCTGCACTTATTGACTTTTGCATTTCGTGCATTCCGAACTAAACGGCATTTAACACAGAATACTCGTGAATAAATTCCAGAGGCGCATTTTGGCGTGCACTACAGATAAACAAATATATGTATATGCATTTAAAAACACATATATATTTATATGTATATATATATAGTTAAAAAAGTGTAAGCAAACACCGACCATGTGCGGGCTCTGGCCAGACGGGGAGGGTTCGTCGCTTCGAGTTCCCAGTTCGGTTTCTTGTGAGCTTTATGGGGACTCGCTTGGTTTTGGCTGGCCTTGATAAGGGGCATGGTTTATTATTTGATTCGAAGCTTCTTCGTCTGCAAATGTTATACGAAACTTGGATTTGTTTCGCTTGAAAACAGCTGCAATATGAAGTCATCATTTTGGATTACAGTGAATTTCCTTACATAACATATATACATACATACATATATATTATGTATGTATATGGACAGGCCTTATTAAAAGACATATTGCAAGTACTTTAACTATTCATTCAAGCATATAGAGGATTCTAAATCTTTGGTTAATATAGATATCGCAGTAAATTGAGCTCGTATTAACATACTGTTAACAGCTGTTAACATAGCTAGAAGGCGAACAAAAGATAAAGAAATGAAGAGAGAGATCAAAATATGTAACTTGAAATGCGTTAACTAATAGAATTCGAATGAACACTTAAGTTAGCTAATTATATGTATTACATCACTAATTAATTAGTTTTAATCAGTTGTTATTCTTTCATCAGTCTTTCAGTCGAAAAGCCGTCCTTAGCACTTGCAGCCTGTGCCATGTTTCTTGTGCATTTTAGTTCTAACATTTTTGTAGCTTAGTTTTCAGCCTTAAGCCTTAAATAAACATTACTTGAGATATTCTTAACCAACCCTAATAATCTGCAACAGTCTGCAAATTATATATACAAATACACTTCTCACTCCTGAACTATGTTTAAAAAGTTATTAAATTTGTTATTACAAAAATATTTACTTTTAAAATTCAGGAATAGTAAAAAGATTAGCAGCTGAGTCATATATAAACATATGAAATACTTGTCAACCAAGATATTTGCGTCTCTCTATGGACAAACGACTTTCAAGCTGACATGGCAAAAATAGGTCTTTTAACTCTCAACAACTGAAACCGAAAATCAGAAATAATCCTGCCAAAGTAGCATATATCAGCTCGAATGCCAAATTTGGTTTCCAAATAATGCATCTACCCAAACATCTAAAATTTCCGCAGTTGATATTACCATATTTGCAGCCGACTCGCACAGCACATTCCGCGCGGTTGCATGTAGATGCTCCTGGCAGTTCCCGTTTGTGTTTTCCCCTCTTGATTGCAGCTAAAAGCTGAAAATTGTTTATGCTAATTGCACTTAATTTATGCATGCAGTTTGTGCGTGTGTGTGTTTGTGCGTGTTTATGTGCCTATGTATCTGAATGTTGTAAGAACAGCAAAAGAAATGCAAAGACAAGGCAAAACATGTTGTTGTTGTTGTTGTTGTTGTTGTGGGAGTACTTGTTGTCATTGTTGTTGCATAGACAATTGATATTTATTAGTACACTAAGAGACATTGCCAGAGGCAGGGGGAGACGGGGAGGCGGGCGGACGGTAGATCTGGCAATTTCTGCGTGCCTCAAATGTGCAATTATCGCCGCAATTGCCGCCGTCCCGCACCCACGCTTCACCCTCCACTCCTGGCTGACATTTGCATGGCAATGGCTGGAGGATAGAGCATTGCGCCCGTATCTTATATACTTGTTGTGTGTGTGAGTGTGTGTGTGAATATCTTTTTGACATACGCGACTTGCAGACGCCAAGTGCCATTTAAGGCCTTCCACATGTGGCAATGCGTAGCCTTCTATGGAATTTATACAAATGTCAGGCAAATGTCGCGACTAGAGACTTTGTCGTGGCGCTTAATCCTGCTGGTGTTATTTCGTGGTGTCTATTTCGGCCAATTAATATGCGGCTAATGGTGTTAACCGTTTGACATGCTTATTTATAGGCCCAAAGATGCAACTGCAAATCAATTGCATGTGCAACACGAGCGCCAATAAGTGGACTGAGTGACAGGCGAACAGACAGGCGATCGGGCAGGCAGCCAGTCGCCGCCGTTGTGCATTTTGCATGTCAAGTGATGGAGCTGCTAAAATGTATCCGATGGATTGCATAAGAAAGCACAACTACCAGCGACTTGTACATGTATCTTGCTGTGCCCAAAGGCAAAGAAAAATATCTAGTGCCAGGCTCAAGCGCATTTATAGTCGCTGTCGCTGTTGTTGTTGTTGTTGTTGTTGTTGTTGGGTGTGGTGGCAGTGGCAGTGGCACATTTCAAGCATCTGCCGAGTGCATGAGATGTATCTTTGGCTTAGAAAAAGAAGAAGAATAACAAGCATCTGCTAGTGTGAATAAATAACTTATCTGAATAAATTGCAGCTGAGCGTGTCGGATAAGTGAATTAAGCTGTGGCATAAAAAGTGTCCATTGATGCTGCACAGCACTTTGCCAATGCTGAAATGCGCCACACGAAATCGTTGCATAGAAAAGTTTAAAATATTTTAGCATACATAAATACACATCTATCTATAGGCTATCATATATTTTGTGCGCTATTTGTTGTACTTCAACAAGATATAATTTTAAGACGTCGCTAAAGAAATGTATTGCCAGCGCTATCAAGTAAAAGCTTTCTTCTTTATAAGCATTTATACTCAACTTCGATTGCTTTCTTATATTATTTATTTGATAACATATCATCTGCCTGAGCATTGTTGCATATCGGAGCATATTTACCGCCTAAGCCACATGTGTATGTTCCAGCGATTGGCCACATACTTATGCATACAACTGTATGGCTTAAGTTCGACGAGCACGTAGCTTGGCCGAAGCCTACTGATCGGCGTTTGGGCCAGGCCCGAGAGCGCATTGGCAGCTGTGAACAGCGGCGATAAGTGAGCAGCTTGTCGATTGTTTTGCGCTTTTTCACGCTTCCGCACGAAACCAAGCTCCGAGCGGGGGGGACTATCAATGGAAGTCGCTGTCAGCAATGTTCCAATCAATTAAAAAAATTGCTGCCCTAATTGCTGCCTGTTTATCAGACACTGGACAGTGGACAGTTGCCGCACAATCATCGGAATCATTTCAATTGAACAATTATGTAGTGAGTACTCGTATTTAGGAGTTTCACTCAATTAAATGTGCGCTGCAGGGGGAAAAACCTTTTTTCATCTCAATTGTGATTAGTAGCAGAAATTGTAGAGGGCGTTTACGCCCTCTCGAAATGCTGACACGCTTCATTGAACTGTTAAGCGCATCAAGAGACAAACAAATGAAATAATTCACATCGACGACTGTCAGACCGGCTGACTGACAGATTCTTTAGCTACATTAGCCAGGAAGTGGCAAAAGCAGCTCAGCCAAAAGAAATCACAGCTCACAACTGGCGAAGTGGCCAAGTGGCGGCTCGAAGAGGCATTTTATGCAAATCACCCACAAATTGCCTGCCACTCGACTTTGCTCTTGGATGCGGATAGGGAAGGCTGCAGCAGCCAAGTATTAATAATTCTAGGGAAAGTCTCTAATGAGTGCAAATG